TGTTTGTTTGTTTGTTTTTTTTTTTTTTATGTTAGTAAGGGTATGAGTGTCATTTTTGGGTGCGGTAAAATGAAAATGGGTGCGGTAATTAGTATTTCAGTTTATATGCTCAAACATCAAATGGACATAAACCACAAGAATCATCCCTGATGTTGACAAATGTAGGGGGTGGAGTACATAAATTTTGAACTTTGAGTTGCAGAACAATTGACCTTTTCAAAAGTTGGCAAAAGGACAGAAAAATAAATACGGTCCACGCTATAATTGCTATAATTACTGTAGCACTGGCAAATTTCCATTGAAAAAGTTCAATGTGTCCAAATGCCTTAACTACACCGATTTTGGACATCTCAGGCCAGACTCCCAAATCGTGTTCTTTAGGATGCTTATGTTCTTAAAGTGGTATCGAAAATCGAAATACAAAGGAGCCTATGAACTATAGATGATGTTTTCAGTTCTTACAATTGGAATTATAAAATAGAAAAAATAAAATATAACTCGAATGCGGAAAGATAGAGCCGAGGTGAGCTATTTTCGCAAGATAGATACGGCCCGTATAGAGCTAACGGGTTAGCGTGTCTTGTCCCCAAAGATATAACGGCTAGCTGCTCTAAAGATGTAGCATACCAACTTCAGAGCTCAGCCGAACAAGAATGAAATTGAGAACTGAGCACTTGTGTTTCAATATGATGCGTTAGGCTTTAATATGCAGAATGATCAGATTTCTGAGGTGTATCTTCTGGTGCTCTACTATGTCCTATTTATAGGATTTCCATCTCTTGAGGGAAACATAACGACCATATGCCACTTAAGGCTAGTAACAGTTGCACACTTAAGGCTGTTGTTAGACACGCCACAAATGAAAAGTTCTAAGCAAACATCCGTAAAATCCAAACAACCAAATATAAAGTTATTTTTTTGTCCATCAAACCACCAACACCGGCTATCATTTCTCACTCTGTTCCACCCAATTATCGAGCAACGTTCGGCGCTTCTCTACAGTCTTAGCCAACACAAAAATTTGTCGAGCATCCGAGTATTTAAATTTTGTCGTAGCTGCAATGAAGTCCTTTTCAATAAACCCCGACATAGCTAACAGTCGATCCATTGCTTCTTTTAGGGACGCCGCCACCAGGGAATCAACTTTGTACTTCAAACTTTGGGCACCTGTCGCAGTGTTTCAGAGAAGATCGTGGTCAGATCCTCATAAAAAATACACTTCTTCCGCCGCATATCGGAATCCCGAGGGTGTGCCTAATAAAATTACAAAAAACTATAAATAAAAATAAAAATATAAATTAGTAATGTTAACAGCATGCAGTTTTGCACTTCATTATATTTGAATGTGTGCATTTTTCATTATTTTTGAATAAAAATTGAGGCCATACCCAATTCTACTATTGTCATACAGCTTCCCCTCCCGGCGATTACTTCTCGCATATCATCCCATCCGAAATCGGTGTTGGCCACCAGCATGTCGTGAGTCCGTCGCCACTTGCTTTTCATTCAGTGTATCTTGCTTTTCAACTGGGAAACCTCATACATAGAGATCCAATAATCCATTCAACCAACTGTGCTTGCACATATTCCCATTGCGTCTGACTGAACTTTCTTTCGACACAAGTACCTTTAATGACCTCGTCATACATCATATTTGCAAACTCCCGCTCATTTTTTACTAGCCAACTAGATTCTCCTACCTTATCAATGTCAGCTTGCATTTGTTGAGTTGACGGCTCCATCTAAGAACTCATATCAATGCAATATTTTTGCAATATCATCACAGGCGATTGAAACAAAATTGTCATATGGACCACATGAAGAAGAAATTTATGAAATATACATTACCGAACCGGGCAGTATCGATATATACAAACATGGCATTGACAAACATATCACCTATAACATGATCGTAAAAACATTGCTAACATTGCAAACATTCGCACCAACTAAGTTAATGATAATATGTAACGCCCCGTTTTATTTTAAAGAATTTGTCGAATTTATTTAATAAAAATTAGAGTTTTTTTTTTTTTTTTTTTTTTAAATCCAAGTTAAAACCTTTTTCGAGAAACGGGCGCTACTTCCTAACATCAACCAACAACACACATGCACGAGCTAACAATAAAACAAATACCAAAACATAAGTCTCAAACCATTTTAAAAGGTCTAACCTTATTCAAAGTTCAACCAAACCCTACACGTACATAAGCCAACAGTTATACAAATAAACCAGCTTATTCAAGTCTCAACATTATCCAAAAAGTTTAACATAAATCCATGGTTCATCCAACACAAACATGATTTCAAGCTGAAGCATAAATAATCCAAAATAAAAGCAAGTAGTTCATCATATAATAAAAATAGGCGGAAGCAAAGACACATCAATTAATGACCACCATCTCGCTCGTCCTACGCCACCGCCTCCAGCTCGTCTCAACCTAATACAAAGGAAGAGAGAAGACAACAAGAAAATAATGGGGGTGAGCATAACCAACAAGCTCACCATTATCGCACAGTATATCTCGCATAACATTTTTAAACCATCATAACCATAGTATTCAGTATGCATAGAATCCAACAGTCTAACTCCCTACTTGGCCCTATCGCAAACCTCCTATGTACATACAACAACCTTCCGGATACGACGGCATGGCTGTAACTGGAAACCTTCCCACCCCCGGATACGACGGTACATGGGATCCTTTCCAGGAGACAGTGAAGTTGAATTACCCATCCGCTCTACACGGATTCGAGTAAATCAGACAATCCCCTCCGCTCTAGACGGATTCGGGCGTCCACCTCCCGGATACGACGAGCAGACGACTTCCACTGCTTTCGCATTCATCAAAGGCACTATCGTTCGGGACACTTAGACTAGAGTTCTCATGCATACAATAATTTTCAAAAGAACCATTACACGAAATAAGGAGTGCGATAAATATGGAATACATCATAAATGTACCCACCTGATAGCAGCAACAGTTCACAGGATCACAAATCTTGAAACGAGGCGAAGTCATCACCTCTAGACACCTACATGATGTCAAGATCCTACAATCAGATTCTATCTCGACTTAAACCGGAAATCACAAGACAGACCTAGTCGAACTCGTTTCGACTAAGTAGTTCGTGAAGTCCTGTGAATGTTGGAACACTAAGACTCGGCTCTAAACTCGACCAAACCACATAAGGGAGTTCACATAAATCCATCCAAGGATTGACCAAGTCAAACTCACATCAAAACTAAAATCAAGTCGATTCCCAAATTTTCATATAACAATTGTGTTTGAAAATAAAAATCATTTAATCGCATGAAAAATGGATGGTCAAGCTACCCTACGAATTAAGCTCTGAAAATTTACACAAAATTTCATCTCCCAGAAATATGAAAAATCACAAAGTTTCAGCTTTAAACTCAAGATACCCTATTTTATCAAATTCGAACAACATATCAGCAAAATGGGCACATTAATTCATACTCAGACTTAATGAATGAATCTGATCTTGAAAATTTTACACAATAACATACATTATGCCAAAGTCCATTTGTAAAAATCTCAGCCTTAAATGATAACTGCTGCTATTTTTAAAAATTCAGACGAGCAACAACAGTTTATCGAATTTAACCCCAAACTGAATCAACACGGACTCTAAAAATTCCCATATTTTACAAACATGATCAAACACCTAAAATATGACTCTCAGTAAAATTTCGGAGTTTTCCATGCAGTAACCGATTTTTAAAAATTCAAACAACAATTCTGCAGATTCAATAAATAAAATATTACCCATATCAAATCAACTCCACAAATTCTAATAATTTAACACAACACATATAAGTCACAGAGGCATGACATATTCGAATTTCAGCTCCTTTCAGTCAAGCATGAATTTATTATGCATTTAACAATATTCTGGACAGAACACAATTTAATTATTACAAATAGCTACAGGTCTCCAAAAATTATGAAAATATTACACAAGGCAGGAAATAACCAGATAACACATCCCTCAATAATTCACTTCGTTTCGAGCAGCGAACTATTTTTAAAAATTCGAACATCAAAACAGCGATTAACAAGCTCGACAACTTGACAATTAAATCACAACACACAATTTATCGTCCGAGGCCTTTTCATAAGACCAAGGACTCGACATTGTTCCATTATTTACCGACTTACATGACTTTCGAGGTCTCGTTCGATTTTCGAGAAAATCGAAGAGATCCCGAACATACGAACACAATAATCACATCAATTCAATATATTTGCACTTATTCGACAATAAATTCACATTATATATATAACACGAGCACTTCACGAACATGAACAATTCAACGAAACATATATGAATTAAACGAGACAGAAAAACGACGAGGTACCGTTCTCGGGAATCGAGCGAGAATGGTTCCGAACGGGCTCGACGGATAAACTCGTCTCGCCGGAAAAAGGAAGGCTCGATGCACGGGGAAAAGGAAGAAGTCGCTGCTGCTGGTTCACGGCTCGTTGGGAAGTCGCCGGACGCTGCTGCTCGGAGAATCAACAAGCTCGCCGGAAAAACCACAAACAACGATGGGGAACTATCTTCACGGCGCGGCACGGGCTCAACGGCTGGCTCGCGGAAGAGGAGCAGGCTTGACGCGACTGCAGGGGCTCGCTGGTCGTCGGCAGAGGGGCAGCAGGGTCGCCGGAGGAGAAGTCTCGTCGGCTTGCAGGCACCGGTCGTGGAGGACTAGCCGGATGAAGGGCCTGCTCGCGATGGATTCAAGCTCGCCGGAAAACACGAAGGCAGGGCCGCCGGAGGTCAGTTCGCGAGTTGTAGGGATCATGGAGGAGGGCTGCACACGAGGAGGGAGGCTCACCGTGGGTCTGCTAGTCGTGGCAGAGGGTCGCGGGCGAAACTGATCGGAGATGAGGTGATGGTAGGAGATGATGGCGTGAGGATGATGATGATGGCTGCGACGGATTCTCACGAGGGAGTAACGACGATGAAGATGGTGATGAGGGGACAATCAGGTTTTTACGAAAGAAATACGAGAGATGAGATTTCTCTTTTGAGTCTGAGCGAGAGAATGAAGAAGATGGAAATCTGATTTGGGAAAAAAAAATTGCGGCGTGAGGGAAATAAATACATTCACGCTAGGTCAAAATATTATCTTGCTTCCCAAGACAAATACCACACACACGCACAAAACAGAGAGAAAAATCAGGGGCTTGGGCGGTTTAACGGCTCACGGGCCAGTTCGGTTCACGCGGGTATTCTCGGGCCCAATTTCGGTTCCAACAAAAATTTTTCGGGCTTCATTAAAATCGCACGTTAATATATTCGGCTCTCGGGCCCGATTCAATCACACGAAAATAAATCTAACTCTCGGGCTCGGGTTCTCCAATCACTAATTTCGACAGTTCCAATCGATCGCACGATAAAAATAAATCGAACTATAAATATATTTCACATATATTAATACACATTTTTCTCATTTAATAATTAATCACGAAAATCAATTAGACAATTAGACAATTAGCATTTAATCACATTTAGGATTTAATAATACTAAGGCATTCAAGAAAAAAATATAAATATAAATATTATCATAAAAAAAAATATAATAATAATAATAATAATTAATCCACAAATAAATCACAAATAAATGGGGCATTACAGTCTACCCTCCTTAAACGATTTCCGTCCCCGGAAATCCAAGAAAAATCATCCCAACAGGACAACTGACACAAGAGAGAAGCTCAAACCACCCAACTCGTATACTCCATCCGAATTTTCCCACTCTACCAAGTCACACCGAACTAGCCATGGTTACCCCGCCGGACTTTGACGAGTACCTCTTCCGGACTCTCCCTGCTGGATTCGTCAACCCAGTAGGTCACCGGTACCTCATCAAAGGTAAGGTTCTGCCCACATGCAGCTCGTCAAAAATCGTCACGTGCCTAGAGTCACGCACATGTCCCCTCTCCACGAGGCACTGAACAGGTCGTGCACTCTCGCAAGCTCCGGTGATGGGGTCAACCGTCAGGCTAAGACGTCGACTCGGTCGAGAATCACAAAAGGACCAACAAATGGGGCTGATACTTCCTCTCTTCCCAGAACTCGAGGTGTACAACGCCTCTTTCCATACTCAGAACCTCGTACGGTACCATCAAGATCGTCGCTTATTAGTCATCGCTATAAGCGCCCTTTCTTATGGTAAGAAAAATCCACACGACACACCCATCGAGTACACCAGACTCCATCCAGTCTCTCAGGGTCGCGACAGCATATCCTAAACGCATAACTATCTGGATTTCTACACGGTACCAAGTTCAGTCTCGTGCCCGGGTCACGTTGACAACTTGCCCACGATCCCAACGTGATCCGTGCGTCCGTATCAAACGGGCCGTCACGGGATCTCATAAAAAAAAAAGGCTAACAAGCAACAATAACACCACAACTCAACACTGATACCTACAGAAGCCACGGTTCTGCTCGATATCGGTGACAAAGCCTCA